TCCATAAAATTGTAGGAAACTTCAAGGAATAGATTATATAAATATAAAAATATGCAAATATTTCCGAACACTGTAAATCTAAAAGACAAATCCGTTGACTTTTCGCCAAAGCCAGGAAGAGTCCTAACAGTTGCACGAGAAGAATGACGCGCGCCTGACATGCGTTTGGTTGCAGTAACAAAGGCATACTACAAACGCGTGTAAAGTGTTTGGCGTAAGCGGCAATGTCATACAACAGTTTGGAAGTCATTTTAGAAGGCAGGATGAATAAGACAGGGAGGAGTATAACAGGAAAATGGATGGCACGCAGCATAGAAGGGAAGGCGACGTTATCGCAACATGTCTGCTAGCAACGGTCCGGCGTCATAACAACGAACACAAGACATCACACCATGGCTTCATAATGGCTTCATAACAACGGCTTCATATAATAATAATAATGGACATGGCTTCATAATGCACATGGATTCATAACAACGAACACAAGACATCACACCAAGGAACTTAGCTTGCAGTTTATGGCGCGAGAATCACGATAAGTTTAAACTTTAGAGACTTTGAGAAATGCTTCGTTCAAGTTTTAAAAATATATTCAATTTTATTTCATGCACATTAATTATTAAAAATTCATGTCACGCACATCAATTGTTAGTTTCTAATCGACAAAAATAACAAATCAACTCGAGAGAGTTTGAATGGCAGATGACGCAATAATATGGTAAAATGTCAACATAAAATGCCATTCAATTCAAAGCTATTTGATATCGAAGTGATATAGAAACGATATTAAATAAATAGAGTTTTCCAGGATGAGATCATTTCGAGGGCAGGATATCACAAGGATCTCAACCCATCGAAGGACATAAACATTGACGATAGAACACCAAATAATTCCTTCACTTAATAACTGCTTGGTATATCGGTGTAACATCCTTACTGCCGTCACGACGGATATTGCAAGGCACCATCTCTCACTATAATATTATACAAATATATACTATAATAAAGTGATACATTTTGGCACAGCACGTGGGTTCGCATCCTCACCCTTTTTATACAATGTTATTCCTACCTGAGTTATAATTTCATGTAACGGTGACAATTTGCCAATCATTTAGTTACTTAATTTAATGCTATTCAACTTTTAATGCTACAAGTTGTAGCAAATATTGTTATTAACTAACATTATATATAACATACATTGCAAACAATATTGGTCTCATACAATATGCATACGTTATATCTATAAATTTAAACAATATATTTGTTTCAGCTACCATTGTGAAGATTATATAATTGATCTACCATTGCAAAAAAATATATATCTGAGCTACCGTTGTAGAAAACATGCAAATAACAAAAGCTACGACAAAAAACAACAGCATAATGGCTGCCATTGCAGATAAATGTAATGGCTGCCATTGTAGACAATATAACGTAATGGCTGCCATTGTAGTCAATACAACGTAATGGCTGCCATTGTAGACAATATAACGTAATGGCTGCCATTGTAGACAAGATAACGTAATGGCTGCATTGTAGCTAATATAACTTAATTGCTGCCATTGTAGACAATATAACGTAATGGCTGCCACTGTAGACAAGAAAACGTAATGGCTGCGCCATTGTAGACAATATAACGTAATGGCTGCCATTGTAGAAAATATAACGTAATGGCTGCCATTGTAGACAATATAACGTAATGGCTGCCATTGTAGACAATATAACGTAATGGCTGCCATTATAGACAAGATAATGTCATAACTGCCATTGTAAACAATATATTATAATGGCTGCCATTAAATAGAGCAGCGCTGAGATAAACAAGACGTGTTACAGCGCAGGCTTGTCGTGAGGGCAGAAGGAGGCGTCGTGGGGGTAGAGGAGGCAGTGTAGGCTCAGCATCCTGTCGGCACATCCACTTAATTACCTTCTCGTTAATTACTCTTACAAAAACTACTATCTCAATAAGTTACAAGAAATAATTATTAATAAATTAAATTACAAGACATTAACATTTGAAGATATTGTCTGCAAATACAGCAGTGCACAAGACCACACCAACAACATCACAAGTGCGCACAACACAAAACTCTAATGTGATTCATTGGGGCATCAGAGATGCAGCGAGTGATAATTTATTTCATTTATAAAATGATGCCCATGACAGTAGACTACTTACTCATGTAATGGTGTGAGAGAGAACTCGTGACTCACCATGGAAGAAGTGGGTACTAACGACACACCCTGACAGAAGTGGGTACTAACGACACACCCTGACAGAAGTGGGTACTAACGACTCACCCTGACAGAAGTGGGTACTAACGACTCACCCTGACAGAGGTGGGTACTGACGACTCAGTCGGACTCACCCTGACAGAAGTGGGTACTAACGACTCACCCTGACAGAGGTGGATACTAACTCACCCTGACAGAAGTGGGTACTAACGACTCACCCTGACAGAGGTGGGTACTAATGACTCACCCTGACAGAGGTGGGTACTAACGACTCACCCTGGCGGACTAGAGTGCTCATGAGTCAGAAAGTGAGTACTCATGACTCACCTGGTGGGGTCGATGCTGGTGGGCAGACCAGGCACACTCAAGAGGCTGTCGGGGACGTCGTTTTCCCCTGCGCTGTAGCTGAGACTGATCTGTGGGCGAGTGGGCACGTTAATTCGGGGCAGTCTGGGGGTGAATTTCTGCCATAATTTACCACTTATTAGGAGGTCATGGAGACTTGGGTAATATCAGCATATAAGTCAGTGACAACAAGACTTGAGGGAGGCGCGACATGCTTGTTGTGGCATCTTAAATAAGGCAAGAGGATTAAAATTTAAAGAAAATTAAATTTGGAAGTTTAAAGACCAATATTGAAGATAGTACCAATCTAGCCTCTATAGCTACCACGAATCTAGTCTTTAGCTGGCATGAATCCAGCAATCTTATCATGATGGCTGGTAACTGATGGCTGATAATATCATGATGGCTGGTAACTGATGGCTGGTAACTGAATGGTAACTGATGGCTGGTATTATCTCAATGGCTGGTAACTGAACGGTAACTGATGGCTGGTAACTGAATGGTAACTGATGGCTGGTAACTGAATGGTAAGAGAAGGCTAGTAACCTGCTTTGAGAGAGTGGACGGGTCGAGGAGCTGCATGTTCTCGAGGTGCGAGTGGAAGAGGTCAACCACAGTCAACTTCTGCTTCAGGAGATGCTCTGGAATATTGTCACATGCTTTGAACATTATTTCACTAAAACACGACATAAATGCTTGACCATATTCATCATCTTACATCATGTGGATTCTAACATAAATTAACAAGTGTTATAGTTGTTCTCATACGCACCATACACTGACACATTCATTATTGCTCATGTGAATAAAAGCTGTCATAAGCTGGCTGCATTATAAGGAAATTAACACATCCATGCACATATTTAATATCACGGGCATTCATTGAATAAAAACTTAAAATAATAATGCAAATTACTTAGAATATTCACGTATTGACTAACTAATCCGCACATATTAATACCCATGAAACTCACCAATGACATAGCCAATGGTAACATCATCAGGCAGGCGTATTCTGTCCCCTATGCTCACCAGCTTACCACCTCTGCAAATTATAAACACAGTAATTAATTAATTAATTATTGATACAGCCTGTATTGTAAATGAAACATGGTTCCTAAAGTAATTAATTATTGCTACAGCCTGTATTGTAAATGAAATATTGTTCCTTATGCAATTAATTATTGCTACAGCCTGTATTGCAAATGAAACATTGTTCCTAATGTAATTAATTATTGCTACAGCCTGTATTGCAAATGAAACATGGTTCCTAAAGTAATTAATTATTGCTACAGCCTGTATTGTAAATGAAACATGGTTCCCAAAGTAATTAATTATTGCTACAGCCTGTATTGTAAATGAAATATTGTTCCTTATGCAATTAATTATTGCTACAGCCTGTATTGTAAAGGAAACATTGTTCCTAACGTAATTAGATCTATTAACATAATCGGAAACATGAATGACCTTGAATGTACTTGAGAAATAGTGACAAACAATTTGGTATTTAAATTGCAAATTCATTCCTGTATCCAACAAGCATACCATATAAATGAATGAACTTTCATCTATATGTGAACAAACATTCATTCATATATGAATCAACACTTGGAGATTTTTCAACTATTCATGCCACAGATGCTTACAAAATTGATGTAAATGAAGACCTCACCCTGCTACAGGCATCATGAGGAGACCCAGCGCCCGAGAGATGCAGAAGCCCGCGCCGCCCGTCGCGAACCAAAACACTACATGACTCTGAAATTAATATTGATAAACATTCATCTATTTCATAAATGCTATAAAGCATTGCCAACACCTATTGATAAAATTTATAGATTTCTGATTACCATGTAATCATAAATAGATTTCTGTTCCATGAATATGCACAATGTCATTGATGAGAACGTAGTAGAACTTATATTGAGGAAGCATGATCAAAATTCCAGACAGTTGTGCCAATGGCATTAAGATATTCATGGCTTAATGCTATAATTATGATATGAATATTTCAATTATTTAGCGGGTCATGTAATTAGCAGGCAGGACAATACGCACTGTGACGTCATCCCTGTTGAGGATCTGCAGGGGTGTTCGGATGGAGGGACGCCCCAGGTACCAGTGCTGACGGTGGTCATAGCCAGACAGAGCTTCAACAAGCCCCTTAACGTTAACATAGTTGTCATCATCAAAATGACACCACCATCTGTATATAAATAAACATTTAACTAATAGTCTTATAGGAAATTATACATGAAATACGGTACATTATATAAAATCAAAAGTATTTTTTGCTTTTAGTAACAAACAAACAATAAAATAGAAACACTCAATTTGCATCATCAAACATTTTGTATGCACCAGCTCAGCAGCAGCTAATTACATGCAACAAAGGAAAAAGAGGAGTCACAGCACAGAGGACATTTGTTCATTTATTAGATGCATCACACAAAGGATGAGTTAGAAGTTATAACATATAGGGAGTGAGAAATCAGCATGATACTTTAAATTACATATGGGAACCCCACATCACATCACAGAATTACCAATGGAAGTATAGACATTCATAAATTTATTAGAGAAATTTTCAGAAATCAATGGTATAATTTGGATAACTTTCAAAGCTGGGTCACAGAAGATGTGAAGGGTGAGCAATAGTTCTTGTATCTATGTTATGATAAGAGTATCAACATATTCAGATTTAAATAAGTGAAGATATATTTTATTCCTTTTCATGTATCCATAAAGACATTTCAATTTAATAATGACTATAGTAACAAACAAATACAAATAAACAAAACATCACTAACTTGGCTGATGACTCAAGAAAGGCATCAAGTTCCCATGCCATTTTGCAGCACAATGCCTGACGCTGGTGGGAGGCAGGACAGTCGGTTACTCGCAAGCGCTTTGACAAAGCCACCACAGATCCTTTCGCAGCAAAGACAGGGTCTCCACTTATGAGAGGAGCATCACTGAAGAATAAAGTCTGAAAATAAAAGAGAGGGAGTTAATAACCAAGAAAGAAAATAATTGTCATTTTCAAACATTTTTATATAAATAACAAAATCACAATTTGAAATTTCTGTCAATTAGTTTTTATTTATTACATGTTGGAAACAGTGTGAATTCTAGAGGGATATAAAATTAACCAGTACACATTGCATATTGGAAAGCAGGACCTGAAAGCTTGGAAATGCCAGGAACTTTCCACTTTCAGTCCATTATATACATATCCTATCCCTTTCCAGCTGTGATTGGTTGATGGGATTGTGATTTTAGCCCCTTTCAGCTTTCCAGCTGTGATTGGTTAATAGAATTGTAATGGTATCCACTTTCTAGCTGTGATTGGTTGTGCCCAAAAGCCCTGCCCTCAAATATGGTATGTGTACTACAGTACTGTTTAACTTGATACTTAATTTAAACTTGATCATTACAAAAGACCCTGGAAAATGTTCAACAAATCCATTAAACGAAAGAAAAATAAAAAATATCAATCAAACCATAGACATCCAAACAATTATATAACAAATCTGTGGTACTATACAATTGAAAGAGTTTGTCTATTCTTGATCCTCCCTTTCATTTATAATCAGTCACCTGGCAGAGCACTTTATGTAAGGAAAGCTTTCCACCTTGGGTGGAAAGCTCTTTTATAAGAGAAGTTCCATTCTTAGAATTCCAGCCTGGCTGGAAACAACAAAATAGCATTATAGTGAGCTTGTCTGAACTTCTGAAGCTGATGTGACTAAATTTATTTATATTTGTTTTCTTTTTCTGCACAGCAATTATAGCTTAGCAGCTGAAGCGCTAGTAATCATAGGGTCACTAAACTAACTGCACAGCAATTAATGAGCATTCATATCTAAGCAATTTTAAAATAAATTGTAAACTTTATGATCAACCCTTTGCAGGCAAGCATAGAAATATGTGATAATTCAAATTTCAGAAGATTTATAGGAAAGTATGAACAATTTTAATAATGTTTACTTTTATATTGGAATTATTAGCAAAATTCAAGTTAATTCTTGGGTAAAAGTGTGCAGTTTTTTCTGAATTTGTGCAAAAGATTCAATGCAAGTGCTGTAGAGTGTAGAAATGATGAGACTCAGAAACTGTAGGTAAAGGTAAGCAAGGCCTGCAGCCCTGCAAGGGCACTTTTGCCTCATTCATTGTTAAAATTTACCAGATTTTCCAGTTGGCCTAGCTGGCAATTACTACAAAATTTGCTATTTTGGCAAGTTTTATTATTAAATCTATTTTTTTAAGTTAAAAATATGACTTGCCTGATTAGATGCCTTGGAGTACCAAGTTTGGGCAATCAGTTTCAATCTGGTTTTATGAAATATTTGGGTGGTTTTTATGGTTATCAAGATTTCATTGATACTCAATTTGTCAGCAATGCTATCATTTTGAGAATTAATAAAATTCTCTTGTGGGAGATTATACTTTTCTGATGATTTCTCACCAGCAACATTATTGGGCTGTAGATCAATTTCAGCCCCATTTTCAAATAATTTATTCTTTATTGTTGGATCTTTTATTGAAATTTTGTTAGCATTTATTGAGACAGAAAACTGCTGACTTCCATCAAATCCATCAGAGCTGTTTGAGCTAAGCGATTTTAATAAATATTTCAAGGCATCATAAGCACTATTCTTTTGTTTACTTTTGATGACATCATCCGATATCAAATCAGCATCAACAAACACGGGTCGAATGACATCAACTTTGTTGACGTCATTTTGTAACGGACCAAGTCGTTCACGTTCAGCTGTATTGTCATCAATAAATCGAACCTGATATACCACAGGCCGTTGGAACGATATCAGGAGGAATGCAGCCAAAATCAGAATTAAACATGTCAAAGCCAAAAGTAAGAACATGTAACGCAGAAGCGTGCCCATTTTCGATTCATGATCAGCAACGTCGTCAGGACTCAGGAGCACAGCACACTTCCTTCCTAACTCCTCAGTGTTTCGCAGCAATTTCAGGCCTGAGCTTTCGACTTCGACCTTAGAAGGTAAACAAAGGAACTCTTTGACAGTACAATTATTACCCTAAATCTAATGCTGTGCCCATACCCAAGACGGATTTTTCAGAATATATAAATATTTTAGAACGATTCCCTAGACCGTGAGTCGTTCAAATTTTCTTTCTGACGTATGCGCACTTGATTGATTTCAAAAAGGATTCATTTTCAGAGGAAATTAAATTTTAATGAATTTATATGGATGAAATGAATAATTATATTATTGTACAGCAATGTCAGCGTTGATTCGGCCATTATTCTTGACGCTGATTATCATAAGATCATGACTTAAGGTTGGAAATAACGAATTTAAATAAATTACTCACATCCCTATCAGATAAAAGATATTCCGATCCATGAAAATCTGAGTGAAGCTAGCAGGTGATCTAGTGGCTTAATTTTTAGTGGGAGTGAATGCCTTATGTTTGGATGATCCAGAAGATATATTTGGATAAACTTTTGACGCAAATTTTGACGATAATCAACTCAATGGTCAAAAAATCGAAGGCGCCAATCGCACCAGTAGCACATTTGAACGGCTGATAGTGCGGCTTGTTATATATTTCAAAAGCTGAGCAAAAACAATATGTAAAAATTGCTGTATTGTTATTATTGTTAGTGCTACTAATTTATTACTTTGAAATTTTTACAGAAATTGAATGAAATTAAATTGAATAGAAATTCGTAACCGCATGTGTGGAATTTCTGACATTGAAAATTTTCATATCGACATGAATGCACCAATGATTGCATAGCGTCATGAACGTGTAGAATTTAATCTGCTATGGTCTAGCTCATTTAATGCAATGACTTGTATTAATTAATTAATGACTTGCTTTAACCACTGGGCAGGGTGGCCCAGTGGTTAAAGTTCAGGGCCCATACAAAAAAAGTTAAGAGATCGTATAAGTTCATCAGCCAATCATTGACGGCCTTTCAAGCAAAATCCACCAAACATAGACAAGAAAATAGAGCGTAAGTACTTACGTTCACTGACGGAATGTTGAAAGTATGGCCCCAGAGTACCAGGATTGGACCTGAGAGGCGCGGGTTCGATCCCAGCTCTGTGCACCAGTTTCTGGTCAGAATCGGCAAGAAGGCCGGGCGGTTAAGCACAGCAGAATTGTAGCAGTGAGTTGCGAGTTTGAGACCGCAAAATACTGTGATTGTTCTGCGATGTTAAGAATCGGCGACAGGTCTACGGCCTACTAAACGCTGAAACCGCTATTATAAAATAATCGTTCATGTGGTAGCAAATGGTAAATTTTATATCACATTGCTTGTTTATGCATTCATTTTCTTCGTATTTTATAACATAATTACGATTATTTCTTCGTAATCTTCTTAACGCATGGTGCTCATGTACGACCAGCTTAACAACACATTTTATTGACGATCCTTGAAAATGTGTACCTATTGTTAGTCTTGATCCTTTAATTAAAAGCCACCGCAGCCCTAGACATGGGCTTCGAAGGGTTGAAAGAGACTGCGAAATGGGGAGGGAAGGAGGAATGTTTATCTTGAACCAAAGAACACATATTGCCCTAATGAAGAGAGGCTTCACCTACACGAAAGTAAGAAAACGAATGGTCAGGTCTTGCTTTAATCTACGGAACTTTTACTTACCTATTGGGCTTTAATTACTCATATCTAATACTAGAAGAATGATTCAGAATGCCAGGTGTAACAATCATTTAAGAATAAATAGTCAAACCAACTTATAACGTGAAAATATTAGAAAAGTCGCGCGTTTTACGATTCACATGGGGCAAAATTTTCGTTCGCGATAACAGTGGTAATACAAAGTTTACATAATTTATCTTAATGTCTGTGAATTTAAAATAATTAGCCACGATAGCTTTTCAGATTTAAGACTTGTATCTTATTAAGGAGGGGAGTTATTTGTAGAATTCATAATTAAGAAACGCCATAGGCGACTAACGCGGCTGACGACCTTGATGTATGCTCTCAACCCTCCTGTTGCCTCCGGGCCGAAATGACACGCAATTCCGACCCCTTGTCCTGAGGGCATACGGCGTATACCGTTAATGAAGAAAACATTAGAGTTAATTATGTCAAAATTTATGTATGTAGTTCGCCAATGCTCACAATTACGTTAATATGCAACTGTTTGATAAACAGTTGCATATATACTAAATAGTTGCATATTTTCATTTACTCCTAATCAATTCTTGAAAGTGATCGCTTCATGCCTGCGCAAATCAAATTTAACGAATTATTCATCAAAGAACAAATTTAACTTCCCCCTGATCCAATTCAATTGAATTCCTAATATAAACTTAGGTGATGGACAATGTGAGAGGTAAAAATGAAAACACGACAACTGCAAGAATTTTTGTGTTGGTTAGCGATAATCGCACCAAGAAGATGAAACTTGTTATTTTCATCGAGATATGGCTTGTAGACAGCTGGATAGGCTATGATTCGACTTCAACCTTGAATTGATAAAACTTATATTTTGTTCAATACGATTTCAATTAATATGACAGTATCTAATGAATGATCCTTTTACAGCAGCTAACTAATATTATTACTCTCAATTAATTTATATTTCCACGGTCCATTTTATTAATTGTGTATTTATGTCACTAGTGCTTATTGGGCACTAAGTGGCCCAATGGTTACAGTTCAGTGTACTAAGCTTGGCGCAGAGAGGCGCGAGTTCGATCCCAGCTCAGTGCGCCAGTTTCTGGTCAGAATCGGCGAGGAGGCCGGGCGGTTAAGCACAGCAGAATTGTAGCAGTGAGTTGCGCGTTCGAGACCGCAAAATGCTGTGAATGTTCTGCGATGCTAGGAATCGTTATTATTATCATTATTATTTCTTTCATTTGTGTTCGTCTCACCGAATGCACTATAACAGTATGAATTTATGACACAGTTACTCACCGAGCGCATAGAAATTCAATGCAATTGAGTGAAATTGACTTCTTCCGTGGGACAATGGCTTAAGTTATATAACTTGGCCTTTAATGTTTACTCTGTGAGCGACGTAGCTCAGAACTGCTACTTAGTACTATCTGCTCTCCCACCGAAATTGCAGTCTGACCTGACCATCCTATTAGTGGACGAGCCCAACGTTATGTACCAAGGTATAAGCTATAAGGTATAAGCTTTGATGCGCGTTGACGTGACCGCGACGCTTAGTTGTGTTGGGAGTTCGTGGCGCGTCAATCGCTCTCTTCTTGTGTCGGCCTTCTGCTAAAATACATGTGCGTGTCCCTGATCGTGTTTCACTGCCTCGAAGACTGATACATGATGCCCCGTGATAGAGAGGGGCATCATCATCATCCAAATCTTTTAACTTGTGAATATTTTTGAGTGCAACAATACCAGAGCTGGACTAACCCCGAATTACTCAGGACCGTTCAATGTCTTGACGAGAATTAACAAATAATATCATGTTAAATTCCACAACAGAACACACCGTGCCCATTGACTGATTCAAAGCCGCTAATTTGCTAAAACACATTCTGCTGAATGATCACGCGACCCCAAAACGCGAACTAATCCCTAAGGCAATCCTTTAAATTCCGTGTCAATCAATGCAGCGACTCCTGAGGCATCACTTCCAGCCGAGACTCTGAGGACAAGTAAACCTCAGATCACACACGTTGCTACCACTGCTGCAGCCCGTGCACATGTCTCATCTTCTGATAAAACGATCGAAAACATAACTACTGTTTTATCGACCAGATGAGGACGACTCGTTCATCGCCTTGCTTGATAAAATTAATCATCATTTTTACTTTCCTCCCAAATCTTTTTTAAAAGTTGAGAGTAATTTAGCGGATATCGCTACAAAACCGTATTAATGAATCAAGAATTAATTAAGACTGTATTAAAAGAATCATCTGCGGAATCTTTGCAGGTTCGCGAGTTCCGGTCGATAGTTTTAAACAGGCCGTGAAACTCTGTTGGCAATGAAAGTGTAAGTTTTCTCATATTAAAAAATTAGATCTTGACTAACAACTATAATAGACATACTTAAATAAGGATTACCAGTCAATCGATACCATATTGCGGAATTCATCTATCGAGGCTAAGGGCTTTAAATCTTATAGAATATAATAGAAGTGTCGGCATCGAAGAAATAGGCCCATGGCCTGTTGCCGAATAGCGGTTTCAGCGTTAGTAGGCCGTAGGCCTGTCACCGATTCTTAACATCGCAGAACATTCACAGCATTTTGCGGTCTCGAACTCACTGCTACAATTCTGCTGTGCTTAACCGCCCGGCCTCCATGCCGATTCTGACCAGACACTGGCGCACAGAGCTGGGATCGAACCCGCGCCTCTCTGCGCCAATAATGGTACTCTGAACTGTAACCACTGGGCCACCCTGCCCAGTGGCAGTAGGGTACCGGTCTCCCAGTAGGAGACCTTGGCTCGGCTGAGAATGGGTTAGGGGAGATTCTGGGTATGACTGCCCCAGGTCTTCCCATGACCGGCTCATGCTGGGACGCGGTCAGGAGAGCTTAGTTTTGCTTTCCTCACTGCTTGGACTTGTGATATCGTCAGCAGTGTCCCGGTGGTGCTAGCGCGGTTTGACAATTATTATTGATGTAAATTTTCAGTATTCAAAAGTATTAATGAGATTTTAAAAAATTTAATCAATATCGATTAATTCTATATCAAATTATTTTTAATTAATTCACTCATGGTTGAGCTAGTATATATATAGTTCAACCATGAATTTACTATTGATGAAAATCTTAATTAGTAATTTTTTACAGAAAAATCGGCGGACGGATTTGTGTACTAGTTCGGTAAAAAGTGTAAGAAATAAAAACAAAGGTGTTGACTGATGATGCAGATGCTTCTCTCGTGTCTCGTCAAGCATCATAATTTATCCTCATCCAGTCATTATGAGTCATTGTTACATGAAGTGTCTCTACTCTCTAGTTCTACTAATTGATAGCATTAGTTTCGAGATATTTCTGTGTTTTTGAACAA